TCGAAAAGTGTGTACCTTTTCTCGATGATCAATCTTAGTGTGTAAAGAGCTAGGTCTGTTGAAAGATCTCTTATTTTCCATTTTTCCCCTGAACTACTGCATCGAATGAAAAAATAATTTCAGAATCGTAATCCACCATCTTCCAAAGTATATATGCTGTCATTTCCGGCAAAAACGTACAAAAACAAAACGTGAAAAAAATGTATCGTCATATGGTAGATTTGAACAATCGATTGATGAATCTGAGACATTTCCAGCACAGATAGTTTAGACAAGTAGACTATATCATTGGTCTTCGGTGTGACGCTCAGTATGAACGTGTTCTCTTCAACATTAAAGTCAAGAGTCGAATAAAAGCAAAATCGTTGGCCGATATTTCCCGATTGAGTTATTTCCCTGGCGAGGACGAAATCCTGATTATGCTCGGTTCGATCTTTCGACTTGAAAGTGTTCACTGTGACAAAGAAGAGGAAATCTGGCTGGCTGATTTAGATTTATGTAACGAAGATACCACGATTTGAAAAAAGTGTTTGACCATATGAAAAAAGAGATGGGGAGTGAAACTACTCTCATTTCACTTGGAAATTTGTTCCGTAAGATGGGTGACTTGGACAAGGCCGAAAATTATTATAAACGATTGTTAAATGAGCTGGCAGTGGGTGATTCCGTCATTCCTTACTGTCACGTAGGACTGGGTAATGTTGCCAGACAGAAGGGTGAATATGCTTTAGCTTTGATGAATTATGACAAAGCATTGAACATCAGAGTAAAAGCTCTTCCACCCGATCACCCTGATATCGCCGGCACATATAACAATATCGCTAGTGTGCAGTGGAACAAAGGTGAAGATGATTTAGCTTTGATGAATTATGACAAAGCATTGAAAATCAGAGTAAAAGCTCTTCCACCCGATCACCCTGATATCGCCCAAATATATAACAATATCGGTGTTGTGCAGTGGAACAAAGGTAAATATGATTTAGCTTTGATGAATTATGATAAAGCATTGAACATCAGAGTAAAAGCTCTTCCACCCGATCACCCTGATATTGCCTCTACATATCGTAATATAGGACTCGTGCATGAAGCAACTCGTACTTGGCAATCAGCATTAGAATATCATAACAAAGCAGCAGCAATAAGACGCAAGTCACTTGCAACAGCGCATCCACAGATGGTAACCACTGAGAGCGACATTCGAAGAGTGAAAGCTCAATTAAAGTAGACATTTAGAATCGCTGCATCTGCATGTCGATAGTCAAGTCGGGTTGTTCTTCTAGTGTTCAGGAAATGACCACAACATGCACTCTAATGCTCGCTCAGTTATTAGATTTATCGGTTAT